GGAAAACCTTAAAATTAGGAACTTTGCCGTCTGATGATTTAAAATATTCAAGAAAATAAGGGACTTGATCCATATATGCTTTTAATAAGTTCCCTTTAATTCCTGTAGGTGGTTCCACTGTCATTTTATATCCTGAAAAATTCATATATATTTTTACAACCTTGACTTATAATTAAATATGATAATGATAATTATTGTAATTAGAATTATTAATTTTAACGTCTTATTTATATTTATAACTTTAAGTAAATAAGGTATAGTTTAAATACTTGTGTATCGTATGGTTATAATTAACTTTATGTACGAATAATATTTAAAATACCGTTCTGTAATAACGCCACAGGAAAGAAGGGTGAAGGTGTTGATGTGAGCCACAGCCGAAAGTCCTTATAAACTACTTCTGGCACTATTTGCTCCACATTTAACTCCAAGACTGGCATCCATGATGGAGACAAATGGCGATTCTGTAATTTACATTTAAAAATATATGTATATATCGTGAGATCAGAAGTCTCACTAAAAAGGTATCTACACATATGTAGGTTCGAGTTAACATCTAACGCAATAAATTTCATTAAAATAGATATTGCTGTCTACTGAATAAAAATACAGCCAATTAGCCTAGACAAAGTTAGTATCAAATTTTTATTAATATATGTACATAAAACGGATATATCATACATACATATTTGGAATCTTTAAGAGTTAATCTTAAATTAATTTCTTTGAATTGTGATATAGTATTTTCTTAAAATTGTTTTAGATTCATTATGAAAAACACTTAAGCCGTGCTATAAGTTATATTCGAATAATTAAAAAAAAACGAATATACTTTACAATTGAAAGGAAATGTAAAACTTTACCTGAAAAATACTCAGTTACCAAAATCACAGCCAACTTTCATCATAGCTTCAGCTAGAGGCCCTTGACCTTGTCCTAATGAAATACTTTCAAATCTTTTGCCCATCTTCATTTTGTCGGCAAATTTCAACAGATCTGAAACACGTTACACTCAATTAGTCAATAAATAATCATGTCAACAAAATCAAACCACCGTAAACGATCCACTATGTAAAGAGAAATTAAAAATATATAAGGACTTATAACAATTAAGTACTTTGTAAAAGTTATACATAGTTAGTTTTAATTTTGCATAGAATTACTGGCATACTTTTAAGAAAAGTCAGAAATACAAACATACATACATATTTTCCAATATGCTATACAACATCCAACTAGGCTTATAAAAAGTAATATTTACCAGCAGCTGGATCAGTACCGGTGGGGAGAATGAAAATTATGCTATATGTACAGTACTAGTTGAACTTCATTATCACGGTTATGAAAACAAATCAACATTATTTATAACAAAATATACCTGAAGAACAGGAATCAATTTGTCAGGTCGTAAGCACTTTAGAACAAGTAGCTTCTGAAATGAATCTAGTTGAGAATCTAGTCCTTTTGGATACGGAAGTCTGGAACATCCAGATATATTATATGTAAAAAAACTTAATTTTAATAAATTAATAAGATAAATTAATAAGATTATGAGGAATCCAGGCATCGTAATAATTCTTAAAGAATTTGGTTTGTTGAGGAAAATCCATCACAAATTAATGCATCGTTGGCAATGTCGCCAACTGTAGCATATCCAACCACATCCGAGGAGATATCCACTTTGGTTCGGGGTTCACAAGTTCCATGTGTTGAACAAATATTAATTTAATGTAACAATATTATTTTGGATATACCTAAAATTCTGACAAGTAAACTTTTTTCAGTAAACGTGTTTTTATATATATACTTTATGAGAAAGCACTTTATTGACTGCTGTAATATTCATAGTGTTTATTTAAATTTGAAATAGTATAAAAATTTAACTAGAATAAACACATATACGAGTATGTATTTATACCCTAAGCGAAATTTTAGTTAAAAATCTGCATACATAAAATCAGTATTTTGACACAGTAATTGAACGGAAATTTAAATTAAGTTGACAAAATATTTACATAAATACCAAAATTTCAGCACTCTTGCTTTTAATAGCCTCCAAAGTTAATATAAGAGGCATATCATCTACTGGAGATCCTTCGCTGTTAGACAGACCATACAAAATATCAGATTGAATTTCCGCTAATTGTGTTGCTAGCTGAGCTCGAGACACGATGAGTTGACCTCTTAATTCTTCCAAATCTGGTCGTTCTTGAACTACTACTATAGACAATAATTGTTCTGCTAAACCACTAGTATAGACAAGAAAAACAAGTAGTAAATAATCTGTTTGTTTAAATATACTGCATAGAGAATTTGTCAGAAACATAACACGCTCGATAAACATTCGAACTTATTTAATTTGATCTTTATTTCGTTTAATTGAATCGCGTCTAAACTTGATAAATTATTTAATTTTTGTATATAGTTTTTCAACTTAGAGACGCGTCCTTTAATACTACTGCGTTTTAAAATTAATTCTTTTAAAGTAGACATTATAATGCGAACAAAAGAAACAAATGTAAGTACTAATAAGAATCAATGACCGGCACAGCTGATCTATTCAAACGCGACAAACACTTCACTCGAGTGGGTAATAAAGTTTTTTACATACGCTCCTCCTTTGTTTAGCGATAAACTAATTGCCTCGGACACCTACAGAGACTGACCGCTCGCCAGTTCTCAGCGTGGCATCAACCCGCACGGCCAACACTCCCGTACGCTGAAAACATCGGCAATTTGTGATTTAAATATTTGCCGTAAATGAATGATAAAATGGGATGCGTATAAAACTATGAAGTGGTTTAAGATTAGGTTGCGAATTGTGGCAGTAAAATTTACTGAAGTATCAGGAAATAAATTGAAATTCGTTTAAAATAATGGGTAAAAAAGTGCGTTTAAGACGTTGGAATATAACGTTAGCGTTAGTTTTGTGGCAATAGTGATACAATTGAAGTTATAGTTAAGATGATTTATGTTACGATGACTTGCCAAATTTGAATTTTAACGGTTGCAATACAACTTTGATTTTACGGGATATGAGCTTGTACACTTGGTGGATAGCTATAAAAATAGTGTGGTATGATAATGGTGATGATGATAGATGGATGATGGTGATAGATAGATGATGATGATGAATGGATGATTGATAGATGGATGAACGGAGATTTTGTTGAAAAGGTAGACACTTATCTGATTTGGCCCTGCTTCGGCAGCGTTGATAGGTACTGCCGGCTGGTGCTTGCAAATCTTCTTAGTGGTGCTTGAGCGTTAAGCCTGTGCTGCGATGCTGTTGTGAATCGGCGATGGCTTCAAACGCGATTCCGTTGGATTGAAATATTTCTTGCTTAGCTGTCCTGTCACGGTCGCCACTTTTTATGTTCGGTATTTAGACAGGTTAAAGAAAACTTCTTTGGTTTTGTTAAATACCTTTATCTGAAATACAGATGTTACTAAGACAAGAAATCGTAGCGGAATGATATTCAATATTGAAATATAAAGGAAGTGACGTATGTACATAGATACAAAAGGATTACAAATTTATGTAGACTATCGTTAGTTTATATCGACAAAAATAAATGCAGTGCAGGTCCACACGTAGGCGCCAACACTATGTATACGTACATTCCAGGAGGTTCTTTGATATCAATAGACACATCAAACACTTAGTGTACATGTTTATAATGAACACACTCCTTATATTGTCTGGAGACTGCTACAGTTGATACTTCAAGTCTTCTCTATTCTAATATGTCACACTAACCGAGTCATTCTCCTCTTCATATAATTCTATGTTTCATCAATACTTGGTTCATTGTTAGTTTTCATCTAACACTTGATGATCAGCCGTCATCTCCTGATGGATGAATCTCAAGTACAGTCCAATAACACCATCTGTAATACATAATACAATATTGTTCTTATATAAAGACATACCAAAGACACTTACTTCAGTTATTGTTGGTTTAAAATAAATTATTTAAAGTTTAAAAAAATTACAGAAACACTCGCTTATAAAATGACAGACTAAAAGTAGCATATTTTTAATTTTTCAAAATAAAACTAGAATGATAAAAAAAGAGATTCGTTCAGTGTTTAAGTTCGTGGAGTGCTAGATATTTCTATTCCATTGATTATGTCATACAAGGCGAGTGTGCACTTTGGGTACATGTGAGCAATTCCATTCACTTTAGGCTAAAACACATGGACGTACTCTTTTCCAATTGTGTACACTACACTCGCCTCATATTATGATTAGATATCTGTAAGGGTACCGTTATATTAAAAAGATATGTCGTACTTTTATATTTAACTAGCTTTCCGCCCGCAGCTTCGTCCGCGTGGAGTTCAGTTATATCGCGTTTCCAAGAAAACTTTTCAAAAGTCTGGGATAAAAACTATTCCATGTTCTTTTTCGAATTCACCTCTATGTCTGTACCAAATTTCATTAAAATCAGTTCAGTGGTTCAGGTCTGAAAGCATAACAGACAGACAGACAGACAGAGTTACTTTCGAATTTATAATATTAGTAGGGATAAATTGCTTCCATTTATAACTCTATCCTTTTTGTGTTATTAAACAAATATCAACTTTATAATTTAGTATTCATTAACAGTGTTTATTTATTATTTTTCAAATCCCTACTAATATTATAAACAAGAAAGTAACTGTCCGTCTGTTAAGTTTTAATTCCTAAGCCGTTGAACCGTTCGTGATGAATTTTAGTATGTATATAAATGAAGCCCAGGAAAATGACTTCGGCTACTTTTTATCCCGATTATCCCATTACATAATGCCGATTACCCGATCCCGAAAATTCACGGGTTGAACCATGAAGTGGAAGCAGTTCAGGTTCAGTGGCCGTAGTGACAGAGAATAACTGTGATGTTCACGTAGACAGAGCCGCGGGCAGCAGCTAGTTATTATTATAATTATTATTGTTTATTTCTGACAGTAAGTCACAAACATACAAACTAACATACAAGTGTAATACTATAATTTGTTTACCTGGGCACTAAAGCAAAGTTAACAATTTGAACTTTGACCGAGACTTCAGCGTTATACCTTGGATTAGGTAACTTTGTTGTTATATATAAACGGAATCCCGCACAAAAAGGGATTATAGAGTCCCCAAGTTTGAGAACTAGTTTCCCCGCTTGGCGGAAGTATTGACGCTAAAATAGAAATTTACTAGTTAATAACAAATAAATTATAAATTGATTTTAATCATAACAAAACAAACAAATAATTCATATAAATTAATTCGCATCTTTTTAATTTCAAATTAGGATACATCAAGAAAATTATTCATTACAAATTAAACAATGAACAACAATGAAAGTAAACATTAACTTTAAGGAGACAAACCATTATGATAAATGACCTCAAATACCTTCAACATAGGGTCTAAAGCCGGGTCAAGCTCTTGAGCTACATTTACCAATAAAAGTGGTTTCCCAAACTGGAGAGCAGATTCAAAGTTCCGTAACAAATCTCTGTCATTAGGCTTACAAATTACTAAACCTTCGATTTTACCCTAAAATTACGAACAGTGTTTTGTAATAACATTTTTCATATTAATTCAAGAACTTTATTCAAAGTAATAATGGGAATTGTCCTTGTTACAAATCCGCAAGTTTTAATAAAATTTATTTTATACCTACTTCTACAAAGACATATGTATTTTAGATTTTTGTATGATACTCACCATAGCTCTTATCCACTTATTAGCTTGTGTCTGTGGATCTATGATGAGTGGCCAACGACGTGAGTTGTACATCAAAACAGCAGACTCTACAGAAAGTAGATCGCGAGGTAGCCCGTACAATTGCCAATTTCTAAAAATAAATTTTAATTTTCATACATAGTTAGCATTAAATTATTATTTATATTAAAAAATAGTATTAACTATCATAGCAAGCGGTAATTTCCCATTACATACTGGGTGTCGATGGAGCTGAACAAGAAATGAAATATTAACGAATAATAACAAGCTAAAGTTAATACATAGTCAATTGTGGTGGTTAAAGGTTTTAAAAAATGTCGACTTATTCAGTCTATAACCACATTACAAGATTTGTCATTTTATTTAACTTCTTAATCTTAGTTTTTCTTGGAATCATTAATTAGTTAACTAAAGATATTTTGTGCTTACAGACACTTTTCATAACTTAAGTGGGGGTGTAGGGATGTAGCAAGCTGGAAAATAAATATCCTAAGCATTGATTTGTTTAAGAAAATTTGTACCCAATGACATTTTTATCGCCAAGTATGGAAAGTGGAGTACCACCTTCAGTATGCGGGACCTTGACCTCCTGTTGAACATTACTAACGATAGTACAATGAAGTGTGTAATCTTTCCTCGTCTTGATATATCTCCGGTAATTCACCTTCCTCAAGCGGTATCATTCCTTTTACGATTTGATAATACCTGAATGGAAATAAATTCTATTTTAATTTGTAACAAAGATTTTAAAATCAATTCCATTTCCCAGATAATATTAATAAAGTTGTTGCAATTGCATTTTACTGAATGTTTGTAAAAAAAAATATTTGCTACGTAATCAATTATTCTGTAACTATAAACTCTCAAAAAATTAAGTAAATTCTTTTGAATTGCAATCGATCATATTGTATTTAAACTCCAATTATGTATAAAAAATATATATTTAAATATGGTATATTTAAATTATTAAAAAAGCCTTATGAAGTCCAATTAAACCCAAATCAAACTATCATTCTACACCTCTTTTTGTAACCAAAAAAATCAATATAACCTCAACTGACATATCCATTGGAAGTCAGTAACATTCTTGACACTTTCATCAACTAGTGTCTTTGTAACATCACGAGCATGCACTTCTAAAACTATCAGGGCACATAAAACTTCGCGTTGGAAGAAAGTTAGTTCATCTTTAACTAGGGCACGAAGACTATCCAACTGTTGAAAATTTTTGCTTATTATTTCAGTATAAAGTAATGTCTATGTATATTATGTCATTATATTTCTTTTTATAGAAAAAACTTCGTTTTTCTTAGAATGAATCGGTAACACACTATTAAGATCTCTCTAATACGTTACCTGTTTGAGCATCTCTTCAAAGTATTCATCCATTCTGTATTCTGATATAGCTTGTTCAACTCCCGCCGTCCAAGCTGTTGGTGACCCCGCAATCACAACCTGCCCCGGCCATCTCAGTACCCACTGATCACGAGGTAACTCCCATAATTCTACCATTGAATCCACCAAGGTCAGACGAACTAAGAATAAAATATAGCAAGATCTAAGACATTCACAAGTATTCATTTAATTAAGACTACTATTTTCGGATTACTTCGCATTATTTTAGAGATCCTCCTCACGTCTGCCTGTGATCACAGTTCCTGCAAAGTAACCGAAACGTCAAGAGAATGTTATTTTAAAAATAATGAAATACAACGTACTAATATACTTATTGTCATTATTTATAATAAATCCCTGAAAAAGTCAGATAATTTATTATTTCAATATTTACACTTATTTGATACATTTGCTTATACAGTCTAATTTAAAGATAAAGAGGTAATTGGATTTCTCTCAGTAGTGAATATGACTGTAGGTACATTCCTTTTATACTTTCCGTACAGATGATAATCTTTTGCATTATTTATATGTAAAATATAAATAGAAAAAATTCAAAGATTTAATGGGTTATTTATTTTTAAATTGTTACTCAAGGTATAATCCAAAACAATTGATAGATCTTTTGGCCTTTCTATTAAATAAAATAATACATTAACCTATATCAAATAGACACTATAAAGATATAACAAATCAATCTGGTCTCACTCGTGTGCCGCATACTGTCTTCAAGTAGAACGGTTTTATATACAAAAAAATAATGAACATTATATTATGACTAATTATTTCTGCTTATAAACATACTATACATAATTGTTATTATTATTTTATTACTTATGTGCCAAAGCCCAAAAGTAGAAATAGTTTCATAACTATAAAAGAAATGTGGTGTTGGTACAATTAAAAGAGAGAAGGAAAAAAAGAGATACATATGTACCTATATAAGCATACAAACGAAATTATAATAATAGAAAATTTAGATATTAGACATACATATATGTATATATATTTATAAATATACACAAATTGTGTAATAAATAAACATAACACATCAAAAGAGAGATATAATTAAGTACCTTAGCAATATTCTCGAAACATTTTCTAAGATGGGGTTGCGAGATTGGGATAATATTTCTAGCAATTCATCATCACTAAGGAAGAAGAATCTCGGGAACCGTACTCGTTTAAGTTCCATAAATTCATTAAGACTTCGTGATACAACAGCCAGTACATGACGAGCTTCAACCAGGCTGTCTAGAAGACGGCTATCCGGACATATAATCATTATTATCTATAAACAAATTAAATATATTAAGAATAGTTATAAAACTAAGGCTACATTTAAACATGCTCATTTTAAGCAACACTTGAAATGAGCATGCAATGCACGTGACTAAATATCGTGTGTATAAAGTTCAAAACTCGTTTGAAAGCTTGCCAAATACAGTTAGGAAAATAAACCTTTGGACATGCTGCCGATGACATAATTCGTCTCCATATTCTCTCCTAAGTGCCGTACTTTTTACCTTCAAACGGTAATTGTCGCGATATATCTTCGGAAGTAAATATTGGTTCTCAATACATCCACTCCCTTTAAATAATATTGATTATGGTACACAATGTATGCAATATAATTATATATATAAAGAAATACTTTAAAACATACTTTTGACATACAATCCATTCGTCAACAACGTTTTGTGTAAGCCGAAGCTTATCATCCCATTCCTGTATTCGTAGCTCGACAGCTGCTTTGAAAGGACTGAATCCTAATTGTTGTGTAGTCAAAAGATGTTCATCCAATAGTTGGAGAGTTTCGTCAGCAATCTTCATTATAAACGTGCCTGTAAATTAGATTATAGACGCTTGATAACTATTTAAATAAATTGTAACTTTATTAATTCTCTACTGGAGTGTTATACAGTTCTGCTTAGAAATAATTTAGAACAATTTATTTAATTACCTATCTTAGAAATTAGTCCAACACAAAATAATGACATGAGGCTATATACATTCGAATGTTCTACCAGTGTTTTTATATGGAGATACTTCCATCGTCTTGGCCGCCCAGTCGTTAAGCATTTTATCGAGTGCCTGTTCTATCACATACTCTTTGCTTGCTAGTTCACCAATCTCATCTATCAATTCAGCATGTTGAGCCACTCCTTGCTTCAGACACATTGCAAACGTCTGTTTCTCGTTCATTGTTACTGTTATACCTATATTTCAATATACATATTATTAAAACAATAATAATTTTCGTTCAAAATTTTATTTGAATTCAACCAGTTATTTTATATATTTGATATTTGTGTGAAAAAAGTGGCACATTAAATCAAATTTCAAGAATAAAACTAAGTCAATCATAAGGTTCTGGTGCTTCAATTTGAAAACCTCTTGATATAACGAAAGAATACGAAGACATTAATGTATAAAATAAATAAAATAATATCATTTAAACAAATAAAACGGTGTTTCTTTTAAAACTATAACTTTATTACAACTCAACTAGTGGATTTTTTTACCAAAGATAATTTGTATTGCTTTTAAATGTGAGGCATAAAATTTTAAAATACATTCGAAATACAGCTGGTAGACGGAACGTTCCAAAATAACTTATGTATGAATGTTACAAACCAGCTTTTTCCATGAATTCATTCCAGTGTCGTTCTTTCATTCCAGGATTCCTAACAGCTTGGATAACTGGTATCAACGAGTTAAACTTTTCCATATCATCCTGTTAACAAAGGTATAATAATATTATAGTAATATTGTCAATAAAGTCACTAAACACATTGAAATCAGGTCCATATATCTTTATAATATAATTTACCTATTTTGTTTGTAAAATTGTGTAAAACATTATAATAAAATATAAACATAAAATATATTTTAATTATTAGTTACTTCTATTTATATAACTTCTAAAATAAGTGAGATGATTCAATAATTTTATCCTGAAAAAACCCACGGCTACATATACATAGGTTGTTAATTAGGTATATGGAAAAGTAATATGGGCGAAAAAAGGCCGGGGCAGATGTTTATGACTAAAATTAAACTATTATCAAAATAAGTTAGAACAAAAGAAATTCACAAGGTTGTCAAACTAAATATAAGGTTTTAATTTAAAATAATATCCATGGAATAAATACTAAATATAATGAATTTCTTGGTTTCTTCGTGAATCGGTTTTTTTAGTTTTTCAAGCGCTTTTAAAAACTATTTATGGCCTCAATTTTTTTTATGGTTCCTTAATCAGCTCAATAACTTACGTCAAGCCAGAAGCATATAGTTAGGATCTGATTGTATATGTAAGGAGTGACTTGATAACAATTCTAAGGAGTAATTGGATGGCGTTTGTTTAATCACGGATCTAAAATTGAATGTTGTTACTTAGTAAATGTAATATTGTGATAAAGTTGTACTCGTCGAACCGAATCACCAAAGAAATAATCTATATTTTCGTCTACTTAAACACCAGTTTTATCATGTAGTGCTAATGTATTTTTAGAAAGAAATTTATGAATAGTTTTTTTTTTAGTAATAGGATAGATGACTTAAATCAATTTAATCATTGGTGATGAACGAGGAGAAGTCTATCAATAAAATATATATGTATATCGATATTGTATAATATTATAAAATATATAAGTCTA